GGCCAGTGCGTGTTATCCTCGTTTCACTTATTTCATCTTGGTATTCTTTGTGGTAGTTAACTATTTTGTAGATTATTATTTTTGTTATAGGTTAGGTGCGCTGCAGCTTCTCAAGGACAAGCAACACTGTCCGCGCAAAAATTGCTTTCTGCTTATTGTTACTCCCCTTGGATGTTTGACCTTCAGTGTGCAGAATGATGTATGTGCAGTTTCTTTCAAACTCTTCGGCTGAAGGTTGGACATTCTTCTGTGCTCACCTTCAATTTCAGTTTAGGACATGTCGTACAAAAAAAACTGAATTTGGGTCATCATGGTCCAGTAGGCCTATGGATGTGCAAGCGTCACGTGCAAAATCATATAGTGTGTGAACTAGTAGGGACATCTTATTTAAATTATGTTTTGAAATTCTTTTTTCATTTTGGCATAATGAATGGATGATTTGACATTTACCAAGTCTTATTAGGTCTTTAGGTAGGTGTACAGGTCTTTGTGTGAAAAAAACATCACACTCAAAAGGTTATTTCAGGTCTACAGTTATTTGGATGTCTGAAAACAAAACTGGATGAAATTGTTTTGACATTTGGACATTCAGAGACTGACCTTTTTAATAGAACAATGTTTAATTGACAAGGCTAAGCAAGTGTCATCAGTGGTAGAGGCAGCAAACAGTGTAAACAGCCTGCTTAAGTGGAACTTTCCAAAGAGCAAAAGGTGACCATTTTCCTACTTTAGGAGCTCATGAGAGTTCAGGTAGTCTCACCTAAACAAAGTTGTGTTGTGCAGATTTGTCACCATTTCTCTCATTAACATACTGAAGATATTTGAATCTGGTAAAGTGGGGCTTTACTTAAAGTTCATATGAGATTTTGGACATTAATATAGCAGCAAAGAACTATTTGCTATGTTAAGATATTGTGAACAACATCCTAAACAGGTGATTAAATCATATTCACTCAGTGTGTGATATAGTTTTTCTGTGCTTTGTAAATGTAAATTATTTTAGCCTAGTATAACTACTGGAGGAAACTGCCCTGATATCAAGATGGAATAAATAGGCTGCTCCAAAGGCTTATTCCCACACTTGTTGCTTGAAAAGAGTAAGTACATGCTGTTCAACCACTAATAAGATCTAATGTGACCAAATGTCCAACATGCACTGACAAAGAGATGATAAATAATTATGTAAACTGGGGTCTGTTAAATGTAATGCTCAAACTGCCTGCTTACACTTGCTAGCTAATGGCCTCTGCTCTGAAATGTCGTAGCTTTGTTAGCATTGTTAGCTGCTAGCCGCCAGCTCAGCCGTCACTATGGTGCAACCCAGTCTCACGGCATTTCGTGTTATAGTCACGAAATGTATACTATTGATTCGTGTTCACCAACACGATTTTCCAATTGTTTTCGTGTCACACAGAACGATTTTAAAAGCAATGTATTTCTATTGGAAGTATGTTTCGTGCCTGCACCAAATAATAACTAATTAGAAGAAAAAAAAGATTTTAAAATTACAGATTTCAGTATTCTGAATTTCTTTTCCTCACGGACGGCAAAAAAAGTCAGACATTTTACAATTTAAAATAAAAACAATAATCGTGGCTTGATATTGAGTAAGAAAATATTTTTATGAACCACACAGCTTCCGGTCTTCCAAGACCCGACCGGACAAAAAGACGTGTTGCAGGCACGAAACATACTACCAATAGAAATACATTGCATTTAAAATCGTTCTGTGTGACACGAAAGAAATGCGAAAATCGTGTTGGTGAACACGAATCAATAGATTACATTAATTTCGTGACTATAGCACGAAATGCCGTGAGACTGGGTTGGACTAAACGTCATCAAGCCCAACATTAGCCTCCTTTAGCTTAGCGGTGGTGATGTGAAGTCATGTGACCGTGCTGTAGTTCCTTTATATCCCAACATTAGCCAACTTTAGCTTAGAAATACATTGCTTTTAAAATCGTTCTGTGTGACACGAAAAAAAGGGGGAAACCGTGTTGGTGAACACGAATCAATAGATTAAGTCGTGTGGAGACAACCTCTCAAGTCATAGAAACGCTCTGAAAACATTATAGAGAATATTTAATGGATTAATAACCCTGTTTTCTGCAGCAGCAAGTGGACTTTTCTCAGAAGAGGACATCTTCCCAGATACTTTGAAGGAGTGCACTGAGAGGTTTCTTTACATTGTCTGGCTTGGTTTTGACAACTGGACTCCATTGTAGCTAAAGTGGAACTACAAACCCAAAAAGGAGCTGAGCACAACCTGTCAAACTTTAAAAAAAGGTGAGTGTTTCATCTTCTGAGATGAGCTACCTTTTTTCAATGTCTGCACAGCTTTCCAATTTGCATACCAATACTGCACACATTTGTATTTTATTCGGGTTATGATGTCTATATTTTATGTAAATATTTCTCTATATTTTAATGTCTTTTTTTGTGTTGGTCCTTTTCTTACAATGTATCTTCTTTAACTGATAAAGTATGCACCATGTACAGTTTGTACACCAAGGCCAATTCCTGGTATGTTTTAAGCTACTTGGCATAAATCTGATTCTGACCTTAATGTTACAATTTAAAACTGAAACAGTAAAATCTATTCATGGCTTAAATGTGAGGAAATTCTGTCAGCTCAATTGATTATATAGTAGGTAGTTGGTCTTGTTAAATCAGTGTTTTCACTACAGAAATGCCTCAAAATGACACCCCCTTACAATTATAATGCATGTGTATCCCCCCTATCAATAATCAATCAAAGGTACTACAAGCTTGGGATAATAAACCAAGTTATGTTGAAGGGAGCATGTTACTTTTCTCAGCAGTTCAATCTAAACTTGAGCTTCACACTTAGCCGCTCTGCCTCAAAGTTAATGATGTGCAGATGGTGAGGCAGACTGCATGATGGGAATGAGCCACAGGTGTGCAGGGCTGGATGAATGGCTACCAGTGAAAAACAACACATGTGAGGATTTTTTTTTTAAACACGGCAAAGCTTGGTACTTGGAAATAGAATTTTAGCTTTATTTCAAGTAAGTAAAACTAATGGGTTTAAGTCTTCATACAAAATGGAAAGACGTCTTAAGTGGGGATCCTGATATCTTACAACTGACTTATATTGATTAATTGCTTTTCCCAGAGCAACAATAAGAGGATTCCCTAAACTAAATGGCAGACATTAGACAGCAAATGGTAGATCGCCATCCCAGATATAGGCACATATCTGTTCCTAAATACAAGCAACAAGGTCAATAGAAAAATATAAATATCCTACCTTACTGCTTGCATGTGCAGTATGTGCACATACTATTTGAATGTATAGAGAAACCTGCTAAATACTTTAAAAGGGTGAGTTTGGGGCTTTAAATCTCACAGGCAGCATGTATTTTATAAAGAGCTGGGTCCATAATTATTCCACCTCACCATACTGTGATGTCTCAAAGTTCATTGGAAGCTAATGTGAGGCTCGGTCAGTGTTTTAGTCGAATGGAGTGGCCCCTCACACACTGAGGAGTGCAGACCTGTGTGTTTTTGAAGTACTGTAAGCTGCTAACACTCATGCTACTCCTCATGTCAACTGCTCCAGCCATCAGCACACATCAGGTTTAATTGGTGGCTATTTTTGTTTGTGGTGATTATAATACCACGGCACATTTTTACAGATCATTGATCAGGTGGACACAAACACAAATTCACATGATAGCTAATGTTGGTATGTAGTGGCTGGAAGGGTTATTAATAAGTCAGCTCTTGACGCCATATTTTCCATTTTAACTTCATAAGGTGGTACTATGTCAGTGTTGTCTTGACATCTTGCTCTGTTTCATCAGGGAAATTCCTCCTGTTATAAACAACTAACTAATTTAACCAATCAAAAACAATTACCAATGTTTTTTTTATTAATAACGTATTTAAACTTAACTTGTTTGGACATAATTGACCCAAAAACCTAAAAGTTAAATGTATTTTTTTTATCCCAAATTTGGAAATTGTTCTGTTTCATCAGCATGTTAACAAGGCTTAACATATTTGATAAAATCCATCTTATCTTACAATACAAATAAAAAAAACTGTAAAATTATACATAAACCTGATTTCCCCCGAATATAGCATTTTGCAAAGGTGATATTAAAGGTGGGGTAGGTAATTTTGAGAAACCAGCTCGAGTGTGCTAGAATTTGAAAATACACAACCGGAGAAAATCTGCCACTTCCTCACAGAGCCCCTCCTCCAACACACACGAACGCGCACATGACCAATGAGGGCACGAGATAAGTTTGTGCACAGATGGAAGGCTGACAGGCAGGTAGGCCATCCAGTTATTTGAGCCGGGCCGGCTCAGATGATTGGTCGTGCTTTTTACAGTACTACAGCTTCCACAGATGATATTTATTTATGGATTTTTTGTCAAAGCACTTCAGATATTCATTGCTATCGGGATGTTAAGAGCTTTCCATGGAATATAACAACAAGTGTATCTCGAGCCGGTTTCTCAAACTTACCTACCCCACCTTTAACAAGGCTTAACATATTTGATAAAATCCATCTTATTTTACAATACAAATAAAAAAAACTGTAAAATTATACATAAACCTGATTTCCCCCGAATATAGCATTTTGCAAAGGTGATATTAATGAAAAAATATATAAATAAATGTTAAAAATAACTATTTATAATTTGAATAATTGCTTCACTTATCATTATTGCTCAGATTTATCTCCAGCACACTTTTAATTAGTCCTCAGTTGAGAATAATTGTGTTGCTCCATGTGTTTCTAAACCTCAGTTAGCTAGTTTGTAAACTCAGTAATCCGAATTAGAGCCTCTGGTGACCATCTGCTGTCTGCTGCTCCGCGCACTACTTTGTTACTGCATGCACCTCAGCCCGCCCCCTCTGTGTGTGTGTGTGTCTCTGAGTGTGTGTGTGTGCGTGTGTGTGTTATTGTGTGTGTGCGTCTCTCTGTGATTCTCTCTCTCCCCCTCTCTCTCTCTCCCTCTCTCTCCCTGTGTGTGTGGGGGTATTGCCTACCGGGCGGAGTAATTCGCGCTGGTGTCTATTGCGTGTGTGTGAGTGCGTGCTACGGCTGCTGCTTGTCACTCATTGTGCCGTGAACACGGGTAGCGACAAGGACCAAAATTCCGTCCGGTAGCAGTTGTTGTCCCTGGGAAAAAGGCTGGTATCTGCACCCCCCCTTACCTCAGTATAGAGACACCTCGCTTGTTCAAAGTGCGTCTGCTCTGCAAGGGAGAATATCTGAGACACATTACAATGCTGCAAATAAGGGACCTCATCTGGGGATTGCTATTCATTGGCTGTGCAGGTAAGAAGTATTTATTATTCATATTAAAGGTTTATTCTAAGGCGGTGATTGTGATGAATGCATGCAGGCCGAGCGGTGTTGATTCCGGATCAGCAGCATCCTCCGGTCCCGCTCTCGGCATCCTCAGGCTGGAGCTGGTGCTCTGCGAAATGCACCATTGTACCAAAAGTTTCTCCAAGAAGTGAGGATGTTAAATACATTCAGGGTTGGCATTAATGCTGTTTTCAGTGTATTCTATTCCGAGTTTGATCCGCTTGCTTCGGTGCATTTTAAACATCTCCGCGCAGCACAGAGCCAGCACTGATCCAAATGTGCTCTTTATCTGGAGTTATTTGGCACCATTTCTGGAAAGAAATCACCACAAGTGCATCGTTTTTTACGCGAGTTGAGTTTCTGTGCGGGAGGTTTTATGAATTGTACAGGATATATATCGTATACTATCTATGGATGCTTGTAAGCCAGTTTTCCGCTCCAAATTTCCAATAACCTCAACTAAAAGCCATATAGGTCTCATTGAAAAGTCCATCTCACTTGTGCTGGCTCAGCCGTGACGCACCGAGGATGCACCGTGTCGATCCTCAGAGCCGGGATGCTTTGTTTCAGTGCACTAAAAAACAGCTTTATATCAACATAGAATCAGTATTTTCTCATAAGCACGCATTTAAACTCTATATTGGTCACATGGATTAGACGCGTCCATTCTGTGGCCATCATCGGATTTGGCACGAACACAGTATTCTGCGCAGATGTGTCAATGTGGGATTTTAGAGTTTAACTCCGGGCTGATTGTGTAGGTTAACAGCGTTTGACCTTTTTTATGTGACATAACCTTTGTTTCTGTTTTTCTGTATGACCAAATTGGATAGAGTGAGTTTGCAACTTAGCGCAGTGCGTTTTAGGCGCTAAATGTTGACTTATGCAACCCTCAGGATGATTTAATGCTAGTTTTTTTCTTTTCTTAATGTGGTTGGTTCGGAGGAAATTCGTCATCCATTGAGGACGAGTGAATAGTCATTCAATGTATACAATAGAATCCAATCCCGGAGCTCCCATGGTTATATGGAGCCCCTTCACACCCCCACCTCTCCCGCTTCTTCTTCCATCCTCCTCCCTGCATCTGCCCTCTCTCTATAGACTGCGACTGTGTGCTCCAAGTGGATTTTCAGGACCCCAGGGGTCCTTGGAGAGGGGAAGAATAGTTTTATATAATAATAATTTCATTTAGAGGACCATTTCCCAATTTGAAGGGTGATTATTCTAACTTCATGTTTAGATTTCACCATTCTTCCATCTTTTTTGCAGTTTTCATCATGCATTTCCTATTTTTGCCTTGACTGAAAGAAGCCATGACTTGGAGTCAAATGTTGAGGCTTATGTAAAATGAAACTTTAAAAAAAATGTAGCATATCCACTTATACTTGTTAGATGAAAGATGGATTCTTCATTTATTCATAATAACCAAAGTGACCAAAGTAAGGCTTTTCAGACTTTTGATGGACAGACTTCCTTTTTTGGCACTTTTTTATAAAAAGGCGCTGGATCAAGTTACCAAAAAATGTTAAAGGTTGTTTTTAAACTTGTGCCTTCTGGTGGAAGAACAATGACATATATTTGTGAAAAGCTATAACTGGCCAATATAGTGGGGCGGGCATGAGTCCTGAAACCCGGAAATAGGTTAGCATTTTAGCACTTCCTCGTCTCGAATTTGACGGTTTTTGGTTGTTACCCTGAAATAAAGTATTTTGTTAACATAAGCTATAGAGATTTTTGTTCCACGACATTAAATACGTCAGTAAATACCCCACTATAAAAACAGTGGTTGCTAACAAGTGTCTAAATGAGACGACTAAACGTCATCACGCACAACGTTAGCCGCCTTTAGCTTAGCGGTGGTGACGTGAAGTCATGTGACCGTGCTGTAGTTCTTTTATAGCCCAACATTAGCCGCCTTTAGCTTAGCGGTAGTGAAGTGAAGTCATGTGACCGTGCTGTAGTTCCTTTATAGCCCAACATTAGCCTCCTTTAGCTTAGCGGTGGTGACGTGAAGTCATGTGACCGTGCTGTAGTTCCTTTATAGCCCAACATTAGCCGCCTTTAGCTTAGCGGTGGTGACGTGAAGTCATGTGACCGTGCTGTAGTTCCTTTATAGCCCAACATTAGCCACCTTTAGCTTAGCGGTGGTGACGTGAAGTCATGTGACCGTGCTGTAGTTCCTTTATAGCCCAACATTAGCCGCCTTTAGCTTAGCGGTGGTGACGTGAAGTCATGTGACCGTGCTGTAGTTCCTTTATAGCCCAACATTAGCCGCCTTTAGCTTCTGGAAATTGCATTTACGCTTCATCTACTGAACAAAACGACAAAGTAATTAATTGAACACTGGCTTTATTTAGTTTTGCAGCACATTTTTAAAGGTAATTTTGAACAGCGTCTTGCCGCCTTTCACGCCCAAACAATGTGTCAACCTGTCAGCGTTAGTTGTGTAGAGGGCGGTGTGCTCGGGTTGTGAGCATTTTTCTCTCCGTGATTCATGATCCTGCCGAAATATTCTGACGCCTCCGCAATTCATTGCCCCTCACATGGGAGGGAAAGTGAAAGGAACCAGGAGGGAGATAATTAGACAAATGTGCCTCAGCTCTGCTCTTTTGCAATAGAGGAAGGAATTCAAAGAAATTGATCACATTATTTGATAGGCCCCGGGTATATAAAAGCCTAATGACAGCATCACACGATTTGAAGGCTGAGCAATTTAATTACACTTATTGATTTCCAGTACCTGTTCCAGTTCAGTGATAATTAAATTTCGAGTCTCGTCACAAACATTAGGAAGGGAAGCTTCACCACCTTTCAATAAATGATTGAGTTATGGCCACAACATTAAACAGAATATGATCTTAGAAGCGGGCAGTGGCCTTTCTTGTCTTGCTCTGTCTGCAGCCAGATGGATTGTGTTTCACCGGTTCTGACCTTGTGCTATTTGAGTGATCCCTCCTTATCCATGGTCAACATTTAGCAACCTGTAAGAGTATAAGGTGATGGAGGCTAATGAGAGAGAGAGACAACACTATCCATCATGCTTTTTCTAGAGAGCGCCTTCTTTGAGAAAATGTGTAGTTTTGCCTTGAATAAGAAGCAACTGCTAATGCCTCAGTGTGACGTTGCCTTTTTGTAAGATGTCGGGATAAAGGATGTCATATTTTCTTTGTGATAACTTTCCCGAAGTTTTAAAATCCTTTCTTATAGTACCATTAAGTGTTTTGACGACTGACAGACTTTTAAAAATGTCCATCTTCTTTTGTGATTTTCAAATGCCAAATAATTTAAAAGTTTTATGACATTCAGAAAGCTTGTTCTCTAGAGAAAAGAGAGCGCCTCCTTTTGAGTAAATGTGGAGTTTTCAGTTGAATGGTTTGCAAAGAAGTGATACTGGCGACTGCTAATGCCTTCAAATGATTGTGACCACATGATCCTTTTATTTTTGGCCAGTTATTTTAGTAGATGTCTGGTCCAAGGATGTCTTATTGTCATTGCGATGACTTTCCAGAATAATAAAATCAGTCCTAATGGGTCTATTAAGTGCTGTGCAGACTTTAAAGTCATCCACCTATTGTGTTTTTTAAATGCACCTGCCTGCCATATCATTTATACTGTTATACAAAACTCAAGACACTGATTTCGAGAGCACTCCTAGATGATGAAGGCTACTGAGAGACAAAACTATTTGTTTCACTTTTTCTAGTTAGAAATGAGAGCGCCTCCTATGAGGACATGTGGAGTCTTTGGTTGAATGTGATTTCATGATTTTGACATGTGTTTTATATTTTTGGCCTGCTTTTTGTTAGATGTCGGGACCAAGGATGTCATATTTTTATTGCGATATCTTTCCAGAGAAGCATAAGCCTTCCTCATGGTTTTAAAAAGAACTGTGCAGTTCTCTAAAACACTTTTAAACTCATGCATCTGTTACTCAAACTGGACTTCCTCAATTGTATTTCTTCAATTCATTGGTATCTGTAACACCTCCAAGACCTTGTGTTTCTTTAAATGCACCTGCCATACCATTTGTACACTTCTGTGAAACTCAAAGAGCAATCCTCAGAGAATGCGAAGTGAGCCGCGATGTTCATTTAATGATCCTCCAGATCTAAAACAATGTTTCCATGCAGCGGGCGTAGAGCTGAACTCTAAAAAAAGGAGACTTTTTTAGAGGCAGAGAAAAAATACACAATTCCTAAATGGCTAACATATGGGACTGTTAACGGCTGTGGTGAGTTCAAAGCCACTATGAAAATAATACGGGCTATTTTTGACTTTGGGGAACTGGAAAAAGCAGCCAAACAAGGGAAAATTATAAGGCGTTTTTAGGTCTGCTCTCTGAATAAAACTCCATGCTGGGTCTTCAGAAGTCATGGCTCTGTAGTTGTAACAAGTTGCATGCTGCATTCAAAGTGACATCCACACATTTTGTACCAATTTATTACAGTTTACATTGATCAAATCTCATCAGTGCATGCGCTGCTCGTATTTCAGCTGTACCCCCTTTGGATTCAGCTTACATTAAGTTACGTACAGTTATTTTAAAAGCAGAAAACCTCATCAAAATGCGACTACTTGAGTCTTAATTGCATGTTTAGTTGATTGACCAGATGTGAGATCTGCACATATTCCACTGTGCATTCATTTCTCCTTTTTTCCATATGTTTCTGCAATTTATTCCGTCTTCATTCGTCGGATGTAATGTATGTCACATATGTTGGATTATATCAAAAATGAGCAGAGCAGCAAAGAGAGTCATGTCATTAGTGGTGGCTTTTCAGATCTGCTGATAAGACATGCAGAGGTATAAAACAAGACAATGAAACATAAGGCAGTGGTTTTTAATATTATCCATAAATTCATGTCATATCACCCTGCTTCTTTTTCGCTGAATCAAAAAAGTGCAGACAGTTACAAGCAGAAGTTGGAAATGACTCTGCTGGCGGTTATATTTCTTCTGTGCTGAC